GTTTTATGTTTTCATGTGTATTTGTAAGTATTTCAAATGATGGACTTTATATATTGTTAGATTTGAAGTATCTTAAGAGAATGAGTACAGATTTAGGCTAAGGGAAAGTATGATAGTTGTGATTTGAATGTGAGTAGTAAAACTGATCTAGTTTCACTACTCCTTTATATAGGTGTAAATGGGGAAAAAACCTATTACCCAAAATACAAAGCTATACATGCTAGAAATGTTATTATTATTACAAAATATTTAAAGCTGGTTACTTTTAAGAATTTAGGTAGCTTAAAAATAAGAATTTTGACTCAATGGTGAGATTTCCATTTCTAGTTGTTTCTGTGATAGAAACAAGGAAAAACAAGATTCAGGTGAATCTTTTTTTAAAGATGCGACTATATGTCCTGTTAGTTTATATTCCCACTTTATACCTGTGTTCTTAAAAGTCTTGCTTTGATTATATGTTTATTTAAGGTGGAATTCCTTCTCTCATTGCCTAGTCGCTTGAATTTTGAAATTTAAGTACATCAAGGGGTGGGGACCTGTGGCCTCAGATCACCACATACGGCCACCTGGATCCTTAAGTGCGTCCTTTTCACTGAATCCAGATTTTACAGAACAAATCCTTCTAATAAAGGGGCTTGTTCTGTGAAGTTTGGGTTCCGTCAAGGGCCGCACTTGAGGATCTGGAGGGTCACATGTGGCCTTGAGGCTGCAGGTTCCCCACCCCTGATTGGGGCATTATTTTTCCTTTTTCTATGATAATTTGAATAGCACATCTCTTGAGACTCTATCATGCTTTTTTTTTTTTAATAATACTTTGATCAAATTTCTCTGTAGACTCTTCTTTTAACTTACCTTCTGCCTGTGCCCTTGTTTCCAAGGTACTCTTCTCTGCCCTTCGTATTAACCACTTGTCTTTCCCGTCTTAAGAACAGCTTTCATTTTATCCCTTCCAAAAAATCTTTTTGAGTGGTTTTTCTGGGATCAGTGCTCTCATTTCCTCTTTATCCCTTCATTATCACTGTCATTTTCTTACTGTCCTACTTTGAAACTCTCAAAGTTTATTAGTGACAACTTTATTGCCAAGTTCAGGGGTTCTTTCTTTGTCGTCCGTCCCATGGCCTCCTGATTGCACTGTGCAGCGCTGCTTTGGTTTCTTTCCCCGACGTTTGCTCTGCTGTTTCCTCAGCCTCTTTGATCCCATTTGCCCACTTCTAGTTATCTTTTCCCTCATCTCCTCAGCTGCCAGTGTGTGCAGGGTTCAGCCTTTGACCTTTTATTATTATCCTTTTGTGCTACTTTTCAGGGAATTCTCATCCATTGTTAGAACTTTAACTCTTTCAGCTATTATTTGGTGGTTTCAGTTCTTACCTCTTAGTATTTCCTCTTATTATATGCAAACACAGGAATTATATCACATTGAAAGAGGCTGTGTCCAGTCACCCATCTGTAGCCTGTGTTTCCACATGCTTATTGCATTTTCTTCTTTTTCGTATTTTGTTTTTTGTTTATGGCAGTGTTGTGAAGACGAATTATTTATTTATTTGTTTTGCTGTTTATATTTCGCTCCTATTTTTATGTGCATGCTTGTCATTTTGTGGGCCAACAGGTGTGTGTGGATTACATTATTTGCCCACTGGAAGCTGTATTTATGATTCACACTCCTTTTCTGTGTGTGCCATTTTTGATTACAAGAACAGGGGAAATCGTGAGTTCTGTAATTTAATTCGACACACTCACTTTGCTTTGTATTGAGATAGGGTCTCACTCTGTTGCCCAGGCTGGAGTGCAGTGGCATCATCAAAGCTCACTGCAACCTCCAACTCCTGGGCTTAAGTGATCCTCCTGCCTTAGCCTCCTGAGTAGCTGGGGCTACAGCATGTGCCACCATGCCCAGCTAATTTTTTAAATTTTTTGTAGAGATGAGTTCTTGCCATGTTGTCAAGAACTCCTGGGCTCAAGTGATCCTCCCGCCTTGCCCTCCCAAAGTGCTGGGATTATAGGCATGAGCCACTGTGCCTGGCCTGCACATTTCTATTTAGATTTTTGTCATCTTAGTTTCAGCATCTAGAATAAAATATCATCTCCTCCCCCTCTACTCTTTCACAAAGCACTTTCCTTTCTTAATTGCCCATCTTAGTAAGTGCCAGGATCATTATGTAAAAACTTAGTGTGGTCTTTACTCATCCATTCCCCTTACAGTGATCGTCATCTGGCTTTAAGTTTGTCTCCGCTGGTTCTGGCAATCTTCCATCACTCTCCCACGGCCCCTTTTCCTTATTGCTGCATCATCCTGTTCCATTCCTTAATTATCTCGCCTGGATTATTTCAGATAGCCTTTGAATTTGCATCTCTGGTTTTTCTCTTCTTTCCATTCCCTTCTGATAATTTATGACTTTGCAAAGTATATTCTTAGGAATATAAGCTTCATGATATGTTAGAAGACATTTCAAAGAAAAATTGTTCTGTGGTTAGAAAAGTTTGGGAATTGGTGGGTTAAGAAAAGATAAATGCGGTTCCTTACTGCAAAACGTCTTTGATCCTTTAATATGCTGGTATTCATTGTTAATCTTTAACGTGGGAAGGATAGGCTCTATAGCATTTTCCAAAAAATAATTTTTTTTCCAGAGTATGTTTTAGGATTAGCGGTCCTTGGGTGCACTTTGGGAAATGGTATAGAATTTCTTAAAGCAGCCAGAACTTTGTTATCTGCCGCATTAGCATCCCCTTCAGAATAGCATTGCTAATTGTTTTGAAGCCATGTAAATTCTTTTAAGCTGAGAAACACTTGCAATGCATTTTGGGACTGTTTTTGCCTAAAAATAATTTCTAAAGAAAATGCTAAATGCTAATGTGGGAAAATGGAAAGATAGGAGAATATGACCAACAGGCATCTGATTAACCTGATGTCAGGAACAAACTGTATAATGAAAGAAGTGTGTCTGCCAGTGAATAAATTATCAGGTTCCCACCTTGTTGAAGTGAAGAACGTTTGCTCTTACAGCAGAGTTGGGTTTACAGGTACCTTGCTCAAGTAAGCAGAAAGTGTAAAGGGAACCCATGGGTCATAAATGGAGGTCTTGGTAAAATGCACTTCGTATGCTCTTACTTTCTAAAACTGGCATACTGAATTTGACTTGGCTTTCTTTCTGATATCATGCTGAAGATTATATTCTGATTTGCATTAATTTATACTACTTTATCGTTGCATATGTTTGTACATGTCAATGTTATTTTTAGATCACAGGATACTCATTTAATTTATCTGGTTCAAGGGTATATTATCCCTGGGGATAGTAATTTTTTTAAATTCATCTTTCTATTGTTTTAAAGAGAAGACAAAGAAAACCATTTAAAACAAACATATAGTAGCTTCATGAATTATGTGGTAAACCTTCTTGTCATCACCATTTAGGCCAAGGAATAGAACTGTGTCAGCCACCCCAAAAGCACCTCCCAATTAAAATTTTCTTCCCTCCCCTCAAAAGACTATCCTGACTTTATAGTGATCATTTCCTTGCATTTCTTTATATTAATAGTTTTATCACTCAAATGTGCATCCTTAGTCACCAAAGTTTAGTCTAGCACATTTAAAAAAATTTAGTGATGATTAATTTTAGAAAGCATTTTGATGTGCTATTTGTACCTCCCACGTTTACGCCTTAAATCAGAGATATACCCGTAGAAAAGAATATGATAACTTAAGTTCTTTGATGCTTTAAAGACTAGAAAGACTTGATCTAGTGACATAAATTGTATTTCAGGGTGTCCTGATGTCAGAAGAAGAAGTGTTTGAACTTGTTCCTGACGATGAGCGACAGTGTTCAGCATGCAGAACCACCTGTTTTCTCTCTGCTCTCACATGCTCCTGTAATCCTGAGCGGCTTGTGTGTCTCTACCATCCAACTGATCTGTGCCCCTGCCCCATGCAGAAGAAATGTCTTAGGTATCCAAAAGTATCTCGTAAAACTTCCATTACCTTTTTTAGAAACCAGGTTGTTCTTAGTTGTTCCCTTCCCTGTCTCTGGACTGCTGATTCTCTTTGTCCACTTCCCTGCTCAAGAACCAGTTCTTTAAAGTTGGCTCTAACTTGGCAGCTAAAATCAGTTTCTTTATCAGGTGATTTCACGTGTTCCTTGTCTCCCTGCACTAAAACTGTAGGCTGCTTTGATTTTCTCTTTATGTAAACTAAGATCCTATTCCCCTGGCCATTGTGCTTTTCTTAAGCTGATTATACTTAAAACTTATTTTCAAGTTGTTGGTTTTTTGAGGTTTTTATTTCCAGTGTTTTTTGTTTTTATTTTTTTTTTTGTAGATACCGCTATCCGTTAGAAGACCTCCCGTCTCTGCTATATGGTGTAAAAGTCAGGGCACAGTCCTATGACACTTGGGTCAGTCGTGTTACAGAAGCATTATCTGCTAACTTCAACCACAAGAAAGGTTAAATTTCTTCCTTTTGTATGCATATACTGAAATTCTTGTCACTTTAAAAGAAGCCTCGTTTAGTTTTATGTGTTTTTTCCCTCCGTTAAGGAAAAATCTGGGCCTCATATGAAACTAATGGGTTGGTTGAATATAGACTTGATTTTTTTATCTGAGAATCTTGTTTTAAATGAAAAAGCTGACATAAAATGGGACAGATCTAACTTTCAGTAGATATATTGTATGTTTTGGGGAGCCATTGCTGCCAGTGGACTGTCACTGGAGGCTTTTTTGGAAAGAGATTTCCTTAACTGAGAAAAGTGTCTCTAGGGATTAGGAATGTCGTGCTTGGTCCTGAGGTTTTATTGTATCAGAGGGAGATTTCCACATCTGCAGTATGTCTCTGCTAATAGAAATTCCTACTCGAGTGAGGTTGGTGAAGATTTAAGGATGGCTTTTTGTGTCTGTAGTCATAGTATATGGCTTTTTATTTATTTTTACAGATTTGATTGAATTGCGAGTAATGCTGGAGGATGCTGAGGATAGGAAATACCCAGAGAATGATCTCTTTCGAAAACTCAGGGATGCTGTAAAAGAAGCTGAGACCTGTGCTTCTGTGGCTCAGCTGCTTCTGAGCAAAAAGCAGAAACACAGGTAAACCTAAGAAGAGCTTGCTTCTCCAGTGGTTTCCTGTTTCAGAGTAAAAGCCAAAATTTAAGTAGCCTGTGAGGCCCTACGTTATCTTTGAAGTCTTGTGGCCATGCCTCTCCCTCCCTTGTCTCCAGCTGTTCCCCCTTCTTTCTTGCTCCAGCCTGCAGTGCTCTTCCTCCTGCTGTTGTTCGTACACACCAGGCATGTTCCTGCTTGGGACCTTTAGACCTGTTCTTCACTCTGCCTGGAGTTCTCTTCCCACCATATCCAGGTGGCCTGTTCTCGCGTTTCTTTCAAGTCTTTTTTTTAAACGTTACTTTCTTGGAGAGGCCTTTTCTGACAACCCTTTATAAAACTGCACCCCTCTTATCCTTCTTTAAGCTATTTCTCCTGGCCTTACCACCTTCTAATATGTGAATTTACTTATTTATTGTCTGTATCCTCCCTTCTTCCCTACTCCCACTAGAATGTGCACTAGACTAGAAGGCCAGGGATTTTTGTCTTTTTGTTCATTGCCGTATTTCTTGTGCTTAGAACAACACCTGGCACATAGTAGGTGTGCAATAAATATTTGTAAATGATGCTACAGGCTGAAGGCAGGTGGCAGCAAAGAGCACCCTCGATGGATGCAGAGGCGGCGGTTGTGGAGCGTAGAAGTGTGAACCCTTGATTTAATGTAATCCATGTGCATTGAATTTTCTGTGACAGCATTTCATAGTCATTCTAATATGTTCCTTTTATATGAGTGGCCTTTTCTATAGCAGTTCACATTGGGTTTTTAATTAATTTGTAAATTTTTTAACCATTTTTTTGGAGAACCTTTCTTAGAGATATTGATCAGTGGATCTTAATTTTTCAGTGGCAGCAGCCCCTCCACCCCAAGAACATAGCGAAAGCTTAGGAACCCTCTTGGAAAAATGCATGTATACATAAAATACTGAAATGGTTTCAGAGGGTTCATTGTCTCCTAAGGCAGGGTAATGGCTCTTGTTTACATTTTAAGCTTCTTGAAATACAGGATTTAGTTTTATCAATAAACTTAATATTCCACTATGAGAAATTTATTTAGTGTTTAAAATATTTAATACTCGTAGATTGGAGGGACTGTAACTTGGAGAGTTAAATCTTTGAGTCATTCATTAACTGAAGAACTTAAAAACTATTTTGAAGTGATCGCCATTGCAGTGGAATCTCTCAAACACTAGGATTTTAGGATTGCTTAGGTTCGAATTCTGAAGAGACTAGGAGTCCCTTTGGTATCAGAATGACTGTGAATTTTTCTTACTTACATATCTCAATATTATTTCATATCAGGCAGAGTCCAGATAGTGGAAGGACTCGGACCAAACTGACAGTGGAAGAATTGAAGGCCTTTGTCCAACAACTTTTTAGTCTTTCATGCGTCATCAGCCAAGCTCGTCAAGTAAAGGTGGAGTATTACGTTGTTTTCTTGGGTCATAATCCTTTGTCATGTGGGCTACTGTTTCGGGTTAACAGAAAGATATGTCTATGTCTGGACTAGTTTTTTTGTTCTGTTGTTTCTTTTCTCACATATATGCTGCTATTTAAAGTCCTTTGGTAGAGAGTCTCTTGGTTTTGTTCTTAGCCTTTATTTTCCTTTTAAAATTTTAAACTAAGGCTAGTTTAATTGAGCCCAGGAATTTGAGATTATGGTGAGCTATGATCGGGCCATTGCACTCCATGCTGTGTGACAGAGTTGAGATCCTGTTTCTATAAAAAAATTATTAAAAATTATTTTTTTCTATATTAACTTTAGGCCAGAACCCACATTTAACATAGATGTAATTGAAATGCAAAAGATTAGTTAAAAGAATCTGCATATATCAGTGAGTTATTAGTACGTGAGCTTTTAAAAATGCAAAGCTCTGAAATTACCAGGGCCCTGATGGTGTAATGAATATGTAAAATCTCAAAAGTATATATTAAGTGTATAATATATTAACCTACCTAGCAATCTTTTGATAGTTTGGGCCCGCAGGGGTGGGAAACCTGTGGTCTCAAGGCCACATGTGACCCCCGGATCCCCAAGGGCAGCCCCTTGACCAAATCCAAACTTTAAATAAAGGGATTTGTTCTGTAAAATTTGGATTGAGTGAAAAGGCCACACTCAAGGATCCAGAAGGCCACATGTGGCTCCAAGGTTCCCCACCCCTGGTAGGAGTGTGTTTTCTGTTTTGGGAGTGGGTAGTGTGTCTAACACAGTTTTTATCAAGGTTATCAGCTTGTGAAATCTGTTATCAATTGTGTTCTTGTTGTAGTCCATTTCATAAGAACATTTTGGTAGTTAATTACTCTTTCTTTTTTGAATGATGTTCTTCTCTGAACATCTGGGACACTGTAACTTTTCAGTTTTCTTCTTAGCTCATTGGCAATTCCTTCTCTTAAGCCGTCGTTGTCTTTTTTTTTAGCCTCAGGTTCTTTGGGGCTTTGGGGAAGAATTAAGTCTTTTTTATTGTTTGTTTTCTCCTTGGCTTGACTTCTGAGTGTTGGAGTATATTAGGAGTCTCAGCCCTTTTTTCTTTACGATAGGTGTCCAGTGACATTAAATATCACCTGTGTCCTGTTGATTCCAAAATCTCCAGGTGTGACTGCTTTTCTTCTTTTCTACAGACTTTTATATCCAGCTGCATACTCTACATTTCCATTTGGTAGACTAAAAGGCATCTTAAAAGCCTTACAATGAATCAAAACCCTTGATTCTCTTACATCCCTTATACCCTATGTCCAATCTTTAAACAAGTGCTGGCTGCTGTTGTCTCAAAAATACATCTCAAAGTGAACCATTTCATCATCATCTCCATTGCTTCAACTATGTTCTGTGCTACTAGAATCTGTCCGTTGGATTACCACAATAGCCTTTCAACTGCTTTCCTTTCTTCCACTCTTGTCCCCAACATTTTACTTTTTGTTTGGTAGCCAGAGTGATCATCTAAAATCAAATCATATCACTCCCCTGTGGTTAAAATTCTCCAGTGATTTCCCAAAGCCATTAGGATGAAATCCAGACTCATTATAATCTGCAAGAGACTATGTAATCTGACCTCTGCTTATTCTTTAACTACATTTCTCCCTACCCTCTTGTAGCAATACACCAAGCTCATTCTTCTTTAAAAGCTTTTGCCGTTATTATTTGCCCTGCCTGAACTGTTCTTCCTCCAGATAGTCATGTTTCCACCCCCACTCCCTCCTAATTTTAGTTTCAGTTCTTCTGTCTTCCGTGACCACCATTGCTATGTAAAATGCCTCTTGCCCCCTCTGGTCATTCTCTATTGCATTGCTCTGTTTTATTTTAGAGCACTTACTACTAACTGAAACATGTTATTCGTGTATTCACTGTCTGGCCACCTATGTTCCTTGAAGACAAGGACTTTTTATGTCTTACTCAACGCTGTGTTTCTAGGACAGTGCCCGCAGCTAAGTCAGCAGTCAGTAAATACTTATTGAGTGAATTGATCATATTTTAAAAGTAGGACTATAGATAGAAGTAATTACAGAGAAGCATATTTATTAATTTAACTGTCGTATCTGAATACTTGGTGCTAGGATGGTGAGATTGTAAGAATGTCTAGAATCAATAGTTGCCTGCACTGTATGTATTCCATACTCATTTATATCTTTTAATTTGCTGTTTGTTTTTATTTTTTGACCTATTCAGAATCTGCTGGATGATGTGGAAGAGTTTCATGAACGTGCTCAGGGGGCCATGATGGACGAAACCCCAGATTCTTCCAAACTCCAGATGTTGATAGACATGGGCTCCAGTCTCTATGTGGAGCTGCCCGAATTACCCCGACTGAAGCAAGAGCTGCAGCAGGCTCGGTGGTTGGATGAAGTAAGACTGACCCTGTCGGATCCGCAACAAGTCACTTTGGATATCATGAAGAAGCTGATAGACTCCGGGGTGGGGTTGGCCCCCCACCATGCTGTGGAGAAAGCAATGGCTGAACTACAGGAGCTCCTTACAGTCTCTGAACGATGGGAAGAAAAGGCCAAGGTCTGCCTACAGGCAAGGTGAATGCATCTTTTGGTGACTGTTGCCTCTTTAATAACTAAGTCAGAAGCTTAGAGTGAGAAGGAGGAGAACCTATTTCATTAAAAGGTTTTTTTTCCTCCTGTAGGATTTTAATGTGTCTGAAGAATTCCTTTCTTGACAAACAGCATTAGTAGTCAAGTTGAGTGGGAGGGAAGGACATTTCCCAGTGATCCAGGGCTTGGAGGCAGGAGAGATTCTTCTCCCTCCCTACTTTGGCAAGCAGCTTCTGGAAAGGTCCCTGTGGGTAGCAATGAGTACAGACAAGCTGGAGGGTTTCTTGCTGGGTAGGAATGCCCATAGGCCACACCTTCCTAAGCCCTTAGAGCACCACATCGCGTGTGGACCCGCAAATGGGGTAGCAGTGCCAGAGCATGGGTTCTTTTGTGTCTGGCTCCAACTGATTTATTGTGACTGCACTGAATGTCTAATTGAATGTTTTGTGCCTTCCTGGACCAATCACTAAGTTATAAAATGGGGCTGCATGGAAGCAGTTTCAAATATTTACAAACTGTTGTGCAGAGTACTTTGTTATACAAAATAGTGTTTTGTTTAGAGCCTATGATTAATGATATTATAGTTAGGAACTAAGAATTATAAAGTTCATTGCAGTGTATTATTAATGTTAACTGAGAGGTACAGAAACACCTTGTAGGAATTCAGGAGAGGAGAGATCATGGTGAGCTTGGATGGTCAGTAGAGAAACTTGAAAGAAAAGTAAGAGCTTAGGTAGAACCTTGAAGAATGAATAGAACTGAAGTGGAAAGGGGGAGGTAAGAGAAATATCACAAACTAAATTTAAGGAATACGTAGGGTGTGTTCAGATGACAGAGAATAAATGGGCTTCACTGGAATGGAGGATTTATGCAGGAAAGTATTGGGGGGTAAGAATCAGGAACGAGAACGCTAAACAGTTGCATTCGAGTTGGCACCCCAGTGTACTTAATGAGATTTAAGTAAAGTATTCATGATATTTGAGTGTGTATCAGCTCATTTGGCTGAGTTAACTGTGGTGTACCTTGTGAAAGCATTTCTCCAGTAGCTAAGATTAACATTCATATAATTTGTATTGTGAGGACGAGGAAACTAGGGTGCTTAGAGAGAGATCACTTAGTCACTAAGCAATGCAGCTGAAATTTAGAGCCTCTTCCACTTCGTTCCAAAGTCTGCATGTAACTACTTTGCCAGCCACTGACTGTACGCATTTGATAGGAAAAGCTTTGGGTAGAAGCCTCCATGTATACTAGATATTTTGCTACCTAGATGCCATGCAGAATACATACCAAAATTTATACATAGCTTTTCTTATCTGAAGTATTCAAATGACTCTGTGTCTTCAGATCCATGTCAGTTCCAGGAGGTGGGAGCATATTAAATGGGCAAAGCTAAATGACTTTGGAATGTAAAACTATGATTTGGTATACCTGATGAAACTGATAATTAGTCTACCAAATAAAATTTTGTCAGTAGTAATATTTGAAAACTTCCTTTTCCTAATCTCCTACTTTTTTTTTTTTTTTGAGATAGGGTTTTGCTGTCTCCCGGGCTAGAGTGCAATGGTGTCAGCATAGCTCACAGCAACCTCAAATTCCTGGGCTCAAATAATCCTCCTGCCTCAGCCTCCCTAGTAGCTGGGACTACAAGTACGCACCAACACGCCCGGCTAATTTTTTCTATTTTTTGTAGAAATGGGGTCATGCTCTTGCTCAGGCTGGTCTCGAACTCCCAGCCTCAAGCAATCCTCCCAAAGTGCCAGGATTGTAGGTGTGAGCCACCCTGCCTGGCCCCAATCTTCTACATTTAATCAGTCACCAAGTTCTGATGATTTTGTCTCCAAAATGTCATTGTCATTGACCAAGTTATAGTCTTCTTATGTTTTCCCTCGATATTTGCAGTTTGATATTAAAGTACTTATGGAGTACCTACTATATGCCAGGCACTATTTCTAAGTACTGTGGAGACAGTAGTGAACAAGGCCACAAGCGTCCCTGTTCTCATAGAGCTACTATTCTAGTTGGAAGAGAGAGGAAGGAATGAATGAATTTAAGATACTTAGTGTCATGAAGAAAATAAAATTGGTGAAGAAATAGAGGGTGATGTGGTTGGTGGGAATAGTGGGAGTTAGAATCTTTCCTTTTCTAACTCCTCTCAGAATTGGCTTTCTGAAACATGTCCTTAGTATTCTCAGTCTCTTAGTATTGGTTATTAACTACTTACCCTTCTTTTCTTGAGGTCCTTCTTCCTTGCCTTTGCCTTCTCTCTCCGCCTCTTAACTAATGGCTTTCCTCAGGATTCTGGCTCAGACCCCTTTCTCTTCTCACTCTGTACAGGAAATCGCATCTAATTTATTGCCTCTGTTTACCATCTTTTACTGAATAACTCCTAAATTCTCATCCATAATACACATTTCTGTAATAAGTTTGTCCCACAATTATTTCAAATTCCCTATATACAAAATTGGGCTCATTCACTCCTTCCTATACTCCCGTCCTTTTTTTCTTTATTCTTTGAATTATACCATCTTTCATTCACTTGAACAAGCAGGTACTTTGGTAGTTAACTTTGACTCCTCCCTCTGTTTCCTTACCTCAACTTCAGTCATGCTGATTATATTTCCTCAATGTGTCTCACTTTCGTTCCTTTTTAAAAAATTTGTCTGCAAACGGATTTATTTTATCCCCATTTTTGAAAGACATTCTTCATTAGGTATAAAATTCTAGGTTGACAATTACTTTGTTTTGGTACTTTGCATATGTCCTTCTGTCTGCTGCTTTGAAAAGAACCTTTTTGCTTGGGCTGCTTGTAGGATTATTCATTCTTTTCCTTTCATTCCCCTCAGGTTGCTGTCATAGCTAGCCTGGATCGTAGCAGCAGGTTCTGTCTGTGGTCTCATGCTTCTCTCATGCACTCTCCACACTACCACTAGTATTTTCTTAAACTGCTGGTGTGACTGTTTCACTCCCTTCCTTAAAGCCCTTCTCGAGTTTCCCGTTGCCCTCAGGATGAAGTCCAGACTCCCCACCTTGATCTGTAAGGCCGCCTGCCATTTAGCCTCTTGTTTAACTATGTATCTGGTCTTACCTCTTGCCAGTCTTTCTCCTGTATTCTGTGTTCCAACATTGTGATCCCCCTCCCCACCTCCCTGCAGATTTCCTCAAACACTCCTGTTCTTTCCTTCTCTAGACCTTTGTGCGTGTTTGTTTTGTTCTGTGGAGCACTCTTCGTCTGCCTGTGGTGTGTCTCCACCACCCCGGGCCTGCCCCTGGCCCCAGCTTTCCTAGTCATAACTCCTGTTCGGGAAGGACGAGAAAGCGTAGATGTCACTCTTGCAAAGCCTTCTTCACCGGCCAAGTCAGTTCGGTTCTCGAACTGTGCATTCTCACGGCACCTTTACTCCTTGGTCATCGCACTTACCACAGTGCATCCTGGCTCCGCATCGGTGACCCTCCCCACACGGTTAGAAAGTTTCACCCGGCGAGGACTGTTACTCTTGCTCATCAGCGATCTCTGGGGCCTAGAACAGGTGGGAAGATTTGTGGATGAGAAAACAACTCTCACCTCAGTAGTTTCCCGCGTAGTGAAAGTCATGGTCCTCAGGGCTCTTAATCTGTCTGTATCCTTCTTTCCTGCCACATTCTCTTATTTCCTTCTTTGCTCTTATCCCCCACCCACATCCTCTACCCACCCCCCCAACACCCCCACATCTCACACTAACTACCGACTTCTCTTTAAATGTTTCTCCATGCCTTTGTTCATCATATTCCTGGTTTCTTTTCTTTAACCTTTCATCTGACAAAATCATATTTCTATAAGGCCTAACTCAAAGCCCTTCTTAATTCTAGGCAGAATTAATCAATACCTCTCACAGTAGTGAGTCTGTAGTAATTTGTCCTTAGTTCCCAGTATAAGTGTAATTCTTAATCTTGTATTATGATTAGTTGAGGATAAGGTCTATGCTTTATTCATCTTTGTGTAACTGGTATTAATGAATGTAGTTGAATTAAAGGTACATTGGCAACAGTAATGGATTTCCAGTCTGTTGCTTTCTACATTGCTATCAAATGTGCATCTCTGGTAATTTCAGATATTGTAGAGAACTAAAGTAGAGACAATCTAGTGTAGTGAAAGAGGCAGGGATCTGAGACTCATTCTGAATCAGTATTTCAGGTATGTACACATTTATTACATTAAGTAACTTTGGGGGAAATAATTTTCCTTCTAGATAAAGTTTCTTATCTATAAAATGGAAAGAAAGATAGTAGCTGTTTTGCTTCCCTCGTAGGATTGTGGTAAGAATTAAATGAAGTCATGTATATGAAAGTTCTCTACACATTCTAAAATGTTACTTAAAAGTTGGTAGCAATGGGACTTTTTCTCTTGCATCTCACCCTGGGTTAACTGTTCTTTTAGACCGAGGCACAGCATGGCAAGTTTAGAAAGCATTGTGAATGAAGCCAAGAACATTCCAGCCTTTCTACCCAATGTGTCGTCCCTGAAAGAAGCCTTACAAAAGGCTCGAGAATGGACAGCTAAAGTGGAAGCTATTCAGGTAAGGAGACTTTTGGATTATATTGCCCATCAGGTAATGCCTGTCTCACAGACGAATCCTTTAAATCTTTGTTTCTTTAGAATAGAATAATCATAATACAGATGGCTCCCGACTTACAATTTTTTGGCTTTACAATGGTGTGAAAGTGATACGCATTCAGTAGAAACTGTGCTTTGACTTGTGATGTTTTCCGGGCTAGCAATATGTGGTATGATAATCTATCATGATGCTGGGCAGTGGCAGTGTCCTGCAGCTCTCGGTCAGCCAAGCTAATGTAAGTGTTCTGAACATGTTTAAGGTAGGCTAGATTAAGCTGTGACGTTCGATAGGTTAGGTGTATTAAATGCATTTTCGACTTAAAGATATTTTCAACTTACGATGGGTTTACAGGGACATAATCCCATGGTGAGCTGGAGCTTCTGTAAAATAATTATGGTATTTAAAACTCGGTTTTAAAATTCTTTCATTTGATTTTATAATTCAGAATAGTTATTACCTGCTTAAATATTGTTTTTATTGACTCCCTGCTGTGAAAGATGATAGAATTGCTTATTTATTTAACTCTTAGCAGTAGGGATTTTATTGCCAGCTGTATTCTTTGAATCTTTTTCCATGTGCATGAATTACTTTAAAATAGGAGGCAGAAAAGGAAAATGAAATTAACATTTACTGAGCACCACAGTACTCTTGGTACTATTCTGGGTATTTGGGAGCAGAAGTATCAGGGAAGGGTATAAACAGAAAGATAAATCTCATGTGTTCTTACTCATATATATGGAAGCTAAATATTAAAAACAATTGACAGAGAGTAGAATGATGGTTACCAGAGGTTGGGAAGGGTAGCAGGGAGTGGGGGATAAAGTGGGGATGGTTAATGGGTACAGAAATATAGTTATATAGTTCGATAAGATGAACTATATTTGATAGCATAGGGTATACTTTAAAATAACTAAAAGAGTGAAATCGAAATGTTCCTAACACAAAGAAATGTTAAATGCCTGAGGTGATGGATACCACAGTTACCTTGATTTGTTTAGTGCACATCGTATGCCTGTATCAAA